GCTGGGAAGGGACCTTAAACCCCTTTCAGATGTTGAGGGACATTCTCCATCCAACTGATACAAGAAACAGGCATGGTGCTTAGAATGAGGAGCCAGCCAGTGAGGGGAGCTGATGTTACTGTAACTTGACTTGAGATTTTTAAGGCATGTTTGTTTATGGTTTAAAATTATAGAGTTAGTATTTTACCTTGGATTCATTTTAAAATTCACTGTCTTTAGGAATTTTCTGCTGCAATCAGCAGGATTCCTTATAAAAGTGAAAGCAGGGAGTTGCTGCATACCTGTTTGCAGTCATTGGTGAGGTTGCAGTGTCTGGTAGAGACCAACCTATCTTAGGCTGGAAGTGTTATTTGATTAACAGTCTGGGGGAACCTGGGAATGAGCTTGCATTTGAGGAGAGCCCACAGATCACCAGGAATGTATTCTTGTAGGGAAGTATCCTCACTGCCTTCCTAATTCATTCCTCCTCACTTTATCCAACATGCATTACTACTGGGTTATTGACTATGTGATTTCTTTGCTTGATGCCACAATAGAAAAGGCATTACAGTACAAGACAGGGAAATAAAGCAGGGCTCTGTGTGTTGGACTCGTGGCAGTGTTGAGGCTGTGCAAAAACTAAATGATGGCAGGCAGGACAAGCCCTCCTGGGTTATAAAGTGACTTACCTGGAGCCGGGAAAAGTCACCCACCTGCAAACACCGAGCATCCAAGGGAGACTGTACGGGAAACTCCTGTAAAGTTCGGTGTGTCATGGAAACATCAGTGGCACAAATCTGCTCTTGGCACTAAAGGGACTGTAGATATACCCACTCCCCATCCACTCCACCTCCCCAGGCACCACTCAGGAGCAGGATCTCACTGTGCCACGTGTTGTGTTTAAATTTCGTCCTCACAAGGACCACTTGTGAGAGGGTGCTGCAGATTCCTCCTTCCACCTACCTCAGCTTCCAGTCTTGGTTTGGTTTGCTCCTGGCTTTGAGCTCCTGCACGTGCTAGGCAAAGACAGATAATCCACGTAAAGGGTGCTCTGTGTATCTGTACGATCATCTGATCAGTTCTTATCAGCAGTTGGGAATTATAAATAGCCTAAAAGCAGCTAACCATCATCCTATGCCACCACAGTAAATAAGTAACTGCATATTTTTGAAAGGCTTTTACTCTTAGAAGAGAAAAAGATGTAATAGCGTCTTTTTTTTTTTTTTAATATGTCACATAATTTATTCCGAAAAACAGATGTATTTTGTTGTTGCCATTATCATTTGATGAAATACTTTAAAGCTGGTCCAGGTTGGTGCATTTTCAAATATAATATATACAGTACATCTAGCAGTTAACGAAATTTGGATGTGCAGCATAGAATGGTCATTATTTTTACTGAAAAAAAATAAAGGCACTAATTACTTACAGACAAGATACTTAGCACAAACAGATAAGCTTCAAAATGAAAAATTCTCGGTTTATGATAATTATGTTCTCTGCTTTGTTTTCAGAGACTGATAATTTGAGGCTTTAAAATCACCAGGAAGCCATTAATTGGAATTCTTCAATAAAAAATAAATTACATAGAAGTTCATGATGAGTTGTAAAAACACAGAGACTGTATTATGCAGTGAGCGACATTGCTCTACTATTTATAGACGTGCACAGCTATGTAACAGCAAAACTGTAAAGAATTTGAGATGTGCAGATAGCAATTATTCATGGATCCCAACGATCTGCAGATATTTCAAATAACTGCTTTTAGCAGATCAGCTATCCAATAAAAGCAGGGCTTTATTTCCAAGTGGCACTCTTCTAGCATGTTGCTTCTTGTTTTTGACATCTTCTATGACATTATTCTCCTGGAGGTGATTATAATGAGGAGATGTGGAAATCCAGGTATTGGAGCAGAAGAGCCACTCCATGTGTGTGTTTATCTGTAGGAGCTGAGGGATTTTCTCTTAGAAGGGTCACTATGGTCCTTCCTCCTACATCAGGCTCAGATCCTGAAGCAGCTGACTAAAAGAAAGTGTTTGAATTCCCTTTCTTGTCCCGTTTTTCTGCTCTCTCCTTCTTCTTTGCTTTCGCCTGGGACCAAATCCTCAGTGATGATCCTGTGAAAGCTGGTAGAGCAGCTTCAAGGACTAAGGGCCTGCCCAGTGGCAGTGACCACAGAATTTCTCTTTGACTTAGGAAGGAGCCAGACTGAGTCCTCATTGGAGCTCTGTGAGAAATTTGGAAGGGTTTGAGGAGTCCTGCTCTAGAGATCTTCCATCCACCCAGACCCCTCAAAGCACCCACTGCTGTCCTTCTAAACGCATAGGACGGAGCCACCAGCCTTCCAGCAGCTTTTCCATCAAAAGTGAGTCTCAAAAGAGTGGTAGACACAGCAAAGTGTATTTCTTTATTCGACTTTTCTCCTGCCTTTCTCCAGCATCTGGGTGCATTCCATGAGGACACTGGTCTTCCCACTTTCCTGAGGGAGAGCTACCACCCCTTTGCTATCGCTTGGATCTGGGCCTGAGACTTGAGCTGCTAATGGGACTCAGTTAATTGTCTGACCCAGAGGGTATAAAATACTGTTATATTCCAGCAATGCTCTTTTCATGACCACTGACGCCCCGGGCTCCTGCAAGGAGCTCTTTAGATAAAGCAAGTAATAAAAGTGATCGCCAGGGATCCTTGACACACGCCACCTAGTAAAGGAAACAGAGCAGGCTTCAGCTCATTCACCAGTGAGCTCAAGGGGATGCACAAAAGAGTGAAGTGGGCTTGGTAGAGCCTGGTCTAAAGTTACACTTCAGGAAGACAGAGGAAGTATTTCCTGAGGACCTGATCAAAGGCTCTCTCTTCAATGCCAGTATAATGCCTCCTGGCCACCTTCGTACACAGGTAGCGTTCAAGGGCTTGGTGTGACTTGATGGGAGTTTATTCTCACAGTATCAGCGAGCACAAGAGCTGGTTTGGTATTTTGTTAGCTAAAATTAATCAAAAGTATCAGCTGGTTTATTTCCCTCTCCTTGTTTGTTTGTTTGAACCCGAGTTAGTGTGATCACAGGGCAGGCAGGACAATACAAGTCCAGGGAGACAAGGATAATGTGAGACAATAGCAGAGAGTCTGCAGGGGAGATCACTGTGGTGTCAAGACCAAGTGGCTTAGTGTCAGCAGACAAAGCCATACAAAAAAAATATTGGGTCTCTGCTGGCACTTGAGGAGTACTGTAATTCTTGGAGAACAAAACCTACCATACATCATCCAAAATCAATTGATAAGAGATCTCGGAGAGATTAAAAACTGCTCCCTCCCGTTCATTAGTAAAGGTGGCTTCTGTCCAAAGCTGATTGTTGGTGTGGGCCAACGATGATAAATGCTCTCTTACCCACCAAAAAGAAACACTTCCTAATGAGCTATCAGCTTGTGTACATTTTAATTTCCACATTGCTACCGAAGGCATACAGGGTTCCCCAGAAGTGACAGTGCTGCTCAGAGGCATGATACCCAAACAGTACTTTATTTTTTTTTTTTTTTTTTTTTGCCAGACCAATCCCATGACCTGATGTCTGTGTGTTAATGATATTGCAGCAATGAGCTATTAACGTTTGTTTTCATGTATTGTAATATTGCTTGCAAGGAAGTGTTTGTAAGTGGTATTAGCGTGTGGGACCTGCGTATTTGTGGGATGTGGTTGCAATGTTTATTCATGAGGCTGTTACCTCAAGCTCAGTACCTTTGAGTATCAAAGCATTTTGTTGTGGGAAAAGCTACTTCCCGACAGAATGGTTCTGCCTGTGCTCCATGGCTTGGTTGTGCCCTCTTTATCCGTGTGTGGCTTAGCCTAAGAAATGTCCTTGTACAGTCCTTGTGCTCCTTTGGGAGGGCAGAGACCAGGATGTCCCGTGTAGCAGCCTCAGAGGAGTTGACAAGGACACATGGAGTCTACCTTTGCTTTCCTCCTGCATCCCTGATGTTTGCAGCTCAGCACTGAGACAGCTCTCAGTCCTGGAAAAGCCTCACATGTCCCATCCTGTCGCAAACCCCACAGCTCTTACAGAGCATCGGTGACATTTATCCCCCGTCTCTAAATTATTCTCAGTAGAGTGGTGCTTGGGCCAATGACAGGGATGCTGCAAAAGGTCACTCGATGGACCTCGATGCTCTGTTTTATTTACTTAGTTTATTCAGCTTGCAATGGAGACAGGACATGCTCAATATGTGGTCACATAACAGGCAGCCGAGCTCCAGTGCTCAGGATCTCCTTGGATTAGAGCCTTTGTAGGAGGTGTTGGAAGAAATGGAAGGAGTTCAGCATGTTTTTTTGGTATGTCAGAATTTCAAAGGATTTCTGAATTTAATGAACTCATTTAATAGGCATAATTGTCTTGAGTACATGTGAGAAAACTTCTGAAATAGCAGAATTAGGCATGCTCCATTTTGTAGCCTTTCAATGACCTCCAGCAAACGTGTGACCCAGATATGAGAGCCTCCTGTCCACTTGCATAAACATGATGTTTTAAAAAGGCGGGGGGGGGGGGGTGAATAAAAGAATTGAGCTCTTAATGGCACATGGACAGAGACATACTGCAATTGCAAAACAAATTCAGGAGCAGAATCGCCCCGAGACTCTGCATGCCAAAACTCAGCCGCCTCCTGCGAGACGGAGCTCTGGCGGCCGCGGACCTTCAGTCCAAACTGCTCTGGAGTTCCCTGTGCAGAGGCTCCAATAGTAACAAGGGGCACAAATCTGCTCTAGGCCCGTGAAAATCTCTGCTTTAAAGCCTGAGTGATGTGCAAGCTGCTGTTACACAGTATATTCAGGATGCCCTGGAACATACAGGACTCCTTCTTTCTGGATCTTGTTGAAGGACGTGTAGGGGTTGCACAGGCAGAGGCGAGGAGGTGGTACCTGCTCGCTCCAGCCCTCCTGCCACCTGCATACCAAGAAAAAGCTGTATTTTTAAAAATCTCATTAATTAACACGTATTTTTAATACCTCATTAACTTCCTGTCACATGCCTGTCCTACTCTCTTGGTCCAGAGGAGCTCTGTGGCTGGATTCTGACCACAGACTTTTTCGCCCTTACTTGCAGAGAAGGGTGAGGGGCTCTTGATTAGTTTAGGCCCACCATCACCATAGTAACCAGCCCTGATTGGCAGGAGTCTGAATTAATATGCACCCTTAGGAGAAGTGGATGGGGGTCCTGCCAGGCGTGCCCGTGCCAGCACACACGGGGGTAGTGCTGCCACTACCAGCCCTGCTCATCCCAGGCTGCGGCTCCAACATCCCACCTACCAAATCCCCACTTCCCGCGTTGTTACGAGTCAGGTTTAATTAAAAGCAGGAACTACCAAAGTGTGGCTGGGATTTAAAATTATATGCTGTTAGTTATTAACTGCTACAAATTAGGTAGATGTTGTTTCAAGGAGAGCAATTTCCACAGACGGCGCTGGTAAAGCGAGTTGGCGTGGGGGACCGCACAACTTTCCAAAACAGGGATTGCCAGCTTTCTCAGAAAAGAGCTTTTTTGGCCACTTCTTGGGTTTTATGCATGACTGAGATTTAGCATTGTTCATGCTTGCTTGCAGCAATGATACTTCCCTGTCTATGAAAACTCATTTTTCATTTTAACAATAATTCACGGGCAGGAGAAAACACGTCCCGGTTTCTCCACTGAGCCAAATGCCGAAACAGAATATTGGGCCAAATTACGCTCTGATTTTGCAACTTTAAAATCTGCCTTTGCAAGTTAGTGCTGAATTTAGTTCATTCCCCTCAGGCATTTTCCGTGTAATAAAAATTGTGTTTCTTTTTTTTTTCTTTTCCTTTTTTTTTTTTTCTTCTGCCATTTGGGGAAAAGGAAAACTCAAATGAGAGAATGAAGTCAATTGTTAGATTAAAATTATCTGAACTCTTCTTGTTAGAGGAAAACCATAAGGAAGGATCATCTTGCCTGGAAATCTGAATTATCAGCGTGACTAAAGCTGCTGATACAGAATGAGGCATTTTTAGTTGTGGCAGCCAGTCATAAAAAAAAAAAAACAGAGAAAAATAAAACTTTGAGACTTCAATCCTTCTGTTCAGCAGTTTAAAGGGAGAAAGCAGTGAGCTGGTCTGAAGATTTTCCTTCCCCACTACTTTTGCTGCTTCCACAACCCTGCAGGGGAGAAGCAAACAGTCTTTGAGCTGTAATAGGTGTAAAACTAGGCAAAGTCAACAAAGTTTTAGCGAGTGAGAATGGAGAGCAGCGTTCACAAGATTTTATTTGGCGCTCCCTTTGTCAGTACTCAGACAGGGAGACTGGGAGTGTGACACACAGAGGCAGATTGCTCTGGGCTGGAGGTTGGGGCATTTACACAACTTTCACTGAGCTGAAAAATGCAGAGGGCAAAACGTCGTCTTTGGCACAAAACGAGAAGAAACAAAAAAAACCCTCCTCAGTATCACAATCTTTATGTTAATCTGGTAAAAGCTATTACAATATCTGTCATTGCTAGCTTTTTAAAAGCCAGTAAGGCTGAAGGCCACAACCTACGCATATCTTCAGAGCAGATAAATCAGTTTTGTTTCTGAAGTTAACTGATAAATGGCCTGTATGGGTTTGTAGATGTATGTTTGGGTGTGTATACGTATGTATAGGCATGTATATGTTTTCCTTGTGAGTGTGAGAGATAAATTAGTTAGCAAGGGAATGTTGTAAAAGCTCGCTACTGTTTGTCATTACGTGTAGCAGAGGAACAGAAATTAAAGAGGCCTGGGGGGGGGAAACAAGCAGCTTCAGCTCTACTGATGCCAATAACTTTTCACGGGTGTGAGTCAAAGCATCAGGATGTCAGACCCTCGTCCTGCCCTTTTGAACTTACTTGTATAGATCACGATGAAATAGAGAAGTGAGAGAAAGATACTCCTGTCCCCAGCGGGGGGGAGAGGAAACCGGCCACTCATGCAAATGTTTCAGATGAGAAGCTGAACACACGCCCTGCCCACATCCGCAGGGACAGCCAGGTTAAGCAACACCAGTGTGTTTGGGAGGCAGAAACATGTACAGAGTGGCAAGTGCGTGAAGGAGAAGTGGGGCTTCCTCGTGTCCACTCGTGCGAAGTGTAAAATAGTAATTTAGCCATTGCGGGGCCTTGCAGATGCACTAAGTGCAGTGGTGGTGCTCCTAAACATGGGTGATAGGAGGTGCAGGGGGAAGGTGCTCCTTCCAGGACCTGGGAGCATCCTGGCCAGGTTGGGGCTCAGCTGTCCACAGGCACGGGCAGCAGCTTGGTGGGTCATACTCTGGCTCTGGGCAAATGGGTGGGGTGTCTGCCTGCTAGAACCAACTGTGTCACATCCCTGCTGCCCCCAGGGCTTTTTACACTGCATTGGCACCAGTTGCCCTATGGGATGAGGAGATGTTTGTGCTTGGAATGTATTGTCCCTAAGAGCTGGGCCCTGAACGTCCCCTCCAAGCTGGGATATGACGTGTCAGCAGACCTGCTGAGACTGCCGGCCCTGCTTTTGATCTGGCCACGGGGCTTTCCACCGGGCCCTGCATCGCAGGTGTCGGATGTGGAGTGGCCACCACACGCCCCAGTAGCTCTGCAGATGTTTTTGGTGTCTGTCTGCTACTCAAATGGCAGTGGTCGAGGTCCCACTGGGCTCAGGAGACTCTGTGCCTTAACGCTGTGTGGCATCGCGTGGCCTTCGGTTTGTTTTCTGAGAGCAAAATGAGAAGTGAGAAGCAGCTGGCACACTCATGGACCTTTCGTGACAGGATGGCCCCCACCTTGGTCTCTGGGACAAGCAAACAGAGTCATTTGCAGAACCCAAATTCCCCACCATGGTAGCACAGGCTGCCTTTTCACTCCTCATAAGAAACAGAGGTGGCAAGAAGTGCTCAAAGTTGAATGATACCCAAGCGTGTTTTGCTCTCTTAGATTAAAACAAGCCACCTCTGAAATCAGATTTCTGCTGAGGCTAAAAGGTGCTGCTTCTCACCTGGTCTTTCTGCTTGATTTCTTGCCCCAGTACCTCAAATTCCCAGCTGAGACTCGAGTCCCACCATGGCAGGAACTGTGCACACCCCACTGAAGAAAAACATTTGCCGTCTCACAGAGGCTCAGATTTAAATAGACAATGGTGGAGGGGAAAAAGGAAGTCAAGTGACTCAGGGTTGCTGGGCTGGCTGGTGGCAGATGTGGATCTAAACTCTGTCTCTTCTGCTGTTCTGGTGGCCTCAGGATAAAGCCGTAGTGCTCTGTCCTGGTGTGCTGAGTGTGTGACCTCCTGCTTTGTGTGGATTTCACGATGGCATAAAGCGCAGCAAAGATCTGGTTTTTTTTATGCATGTATGCATGGTCAGTGTTGTGCTCTATATTACAATGAGTTATCATTGATTAGAAGTTCAACTGCATTGAGCTGCCATGGATTGAAAAGCTGGAGACATTCGCATTTCCAGAAAATGCCTGTGTTTCCAGACAGCATCACTGCTGCTCCGTGGAGCAGTGGAGGAGATATTTTACATGAGTGGATGTGTTATTTAAAAATGTGAAGATCTCTCATGTTGCATGGAGAGGCACATTTTCAAACAGGGAAATGAGCACAAAATATCCTCTGAAAGCCCCTGGAAGTATGAGTGTCATTAGTATCTCTGCAAAAGTTGCCCTGTCTGCACTCCTCTCACAGAGCTTTGGTGACAATTTGTGAGTGACACTTCAAGGCTGATTTTAGCAACCCTGGTCCTGCCTGTGCTTCCCAGACCTTATTACCCACACCTCAGTTGTCCAGAATTTGCTGTTATTTCAAAAAACTATGTGTCCCAAGAAAAAGTCCTCCTCAGTTCTGTGGGTTAGCCCAGAGTTTGATCATCTGCATCTTTTTTTTTTTTTTTTTTTTAAAAAAAACAGTTTAGGTAGTTTGGGGATTTGTAAAACGGTGAGGGGTGGTTGCCCTTTCACACACTTTAAATTTTCACCTGTGCACATCCTGACATTGAGGTTTATTCTTTACTGTGAGTAGTTCAAAGGGAGCATTGGTTTGAGCTTCCCTGATGGTAAATATTGCATAGCCCTGGCTGCTTTTACCCTTAACAGCACAGAATATTTTCTCCATTATTTTGTTTTATATTCAGCATTTCTTTCCCAGCAGCCTTTTGGCGATTTGGGTCCCAAGCTTCACCTTTAACATACTTTAGCATTACTAGGTTGCATAACCTTCCTGAAGTAAAAAGCAGTGGGCATGTTATAACTATTTAGTTTGTTACAAAACCCCTTCATGATCCTCGTTGCTGCCCGGATCTTTTGGGAAAATCCCTGCTCACGCAGTTCCCAAACCTCAGGTATAAGTATTTTGGTGATACTCCATCACACAGCTCAGTGTTCACCCAAACCTCTGTTTCTGCTGGGGATGATGGACAACAAAGTAAAATACTACATTCAAATGCTGAGAGGCAGAAATGTCCTTTCGGGAAGAAATATTCAAACCAGGTGCGCAAACACGAGGAAAAGTGGAGCGGGGCAGAAGTCAGGGAGCAGCAGCCTGTCCCTTGCAAGAGAAAGCAGCAAATAACGAGTTGGTTATAGGAGAGATAAAAGAAAAGCTGACCTCTGCGATAAGCATGGAGGTGGTGGAATGGTGAAGCAAGGAGGCAATTATCGCAACTCTCTGGGATGAAGTGGGTACAAGAGCTAACGTGGCTGAGCAGTGAATTTCAGCTGGAAAAAAAAAAAAAAAAAAAAAAAATGGATCGTGCACAGCTGCAGGGGTTACTGCTGGAGACTGTATCAGAAAGAAGAAAAATGGATATTGCCTGCAGAGGGACTCGGCACTTTATTGGGCTTCCAGGAGAAGTCGGCTCCAGCGTACGCAGGAATTTCTGAGGAGATGATTTTCCAGCTACTTTAGATTCACTGCAAACAGGTTTCAAGTGATAAAATTCTTTGGGGGATATGGGTTATAATGAATGATCCGTTTTAGAAGAGGAAACAAATAGTGGGATGTTGCAATGTTTTAGCAGGGAGAAAGCCATTGTTTCCAGATTTGTATTAATGATACGGAGTAGAAGGAGAATGGCGAGATGACAGCGTTTGTAAATGAGGGAAGTGATCAAAGATCAGCGGCACTCCCAGGAGGAAGGGTGAGAGCAGTTGGAAAATACTAAATTTCAGCTCCGATTCTCACATATCCCTTAGGATGTTTTATAAATTTATTTTTTCCCCGAAGAGTTTTCTGGGCATCTCAGCTCAAGACAGTGCATTAAGCCTCCACACCTTTGTTATTTGGCCAGCAGTTACATCCAGCTTCAGCTGCTAATATGGATTAGCCTGGAGTCAGGAGAGCCTGAGTCCTGTGGGCAACAGCCACCTGACATTATTCCAAGATTCCTGTCATGAGCACAGCTCTCGCCACGTGAGCGAGCCTGGATATTACTCACAACTTGTAAGAACAAAGTATAGTATTTGAACTGCATTTTCCAAACACAGCCACAGGTACTGTGCTTTGAAAGGAAAAATTTCCTGTCAGGAGGCATTTATATGAGGCATCAGGAAAAAAGAATTATTTGCTCTGGAGATACAGATCTGTAGGCAAAAAGACACAGGGTAGGAAATCCCAAAACACACAAAAAATTATGTTGCTCAACTAACATTATATTTCTTGCATGATAATAATTATAAACAGACGCACCATTTGATGGTTTGCAGATTTGTTTCTCTTCTTTACTTAGTTCAGCTAAAATTTGCGAAGTACTTCCCTTCATTTGCGGAATAATTGACTTGTTCTTATGACATCCCCGGGCTTATGATCCAAAGCTGAGTATGATCTTTCAGTCGAAGCCGGATGTCCCTGTGAAACAAGCCCTGCGATTCCATCGCATCTTACTGGGTTAGCTACAAAAATTACTGGTGGAGGTAATCACCTGGGCTGTGCAGAAAATGATGCCAGATGAGTGGAGGGATGACTTACACCCTTTACGTGCACTGAAACAAGAAACCCAGTGGCTCTCCCCTTTTTACACAGTGTCTGTGGGGATGTCAAAACCAGAAGTTTTGGAGATAGAAATGTTTTAAAGAACTGCATGTCAGGGAACAGCAAGAGGAAGCATTCTGCTCCCAAAGCTCTGAAGGTCAAAACCCAGAAATTTTGGAGAGACAAATGTTTTAAAGAACTGTATGTCAAGGAACAGCACGAGAAGTGTTTCCATTTCCAAAGCTGTGCAGGCTCTTTGGAGAGACCTGCTCTGCTGTGACTACTGGTCAGGCTCCCTGCATTTCCTTTCCTTCACCTGCTCCCACCACCCCCCCATCTTCTTTGTTTAAAGATAATTTGTGCTGTTGATGTGTTCTCTCGGTGAGTTTGCTGACTTGTTTTGCCAGGCTGTCTGATGCAGTGGGACGCCTTGGCACATCATCAGCTTTGCCACAGCTGGGCTTTGCCGCTGGATTCCCCCTCGAGCAAAGCCCTTGTGTCCTCTTTGTCAGCCCCTGGCACCCCTGATACCTTCCTGTAGTTGGGGTTAGGATATGCATGTGCTCCCAAATCTCCCTCCTCTCCATCAGCCTTGCAAGAGCAGGGACCTGGAGGAGTGTTCTCCTGTACCAGGGAGTGAGCAACCTGTCTCACCTCTGAAGGCACAGGTAGCTTCCACACTTTTCAGGAGTTCATGTGACACAAAATACCTGTCTGTCTATACAAACCAAGTCACCTTCTGCCTGCGGTTGCAGTCCTTGTCAGACGTCGTTTCAAGCGTTATCCTTGGCAATACTGTCTCGTTCAGCTCAGCCACTTCTCCCCAGTGACCATGCACTGTGGTTTCCCATCTTTATCAGAATGGGCAGCTTTGTACTTAAAACCTGCCTTTGTTTTTGCTGCTTTGTGTTTTGTTAGGCATTTTTTTTTGGTGGGGAAATTGTTTTCCCCCTGGACCACGCTTCTTCACGCTGCCAGTTTGGTCTGTGCCTCCTCACTGCCTGGTTTTCCCAAGGAGCTGGTCCCTCTTCTGTGTTTCAAAAATTTGACCAAAAAAAAAAAAATATTCACTGGGAATCAGATACTAAGATATTAAATAGAGGTAGAAGAGAAAGTCTTAGTGGCATAATCCCTTTTATTGTATTCCCTACAGATCTCAAGTATTTCTAGTGTTGTACAAGTGCTACCTTAAATCATTCAATCACTCTCTATAGGATGCAGCTCACTCAACAGCAAAGCTTTGTCCTGTTTCCAACCTCTCCTCAACAGGCAACACAGGATTGCTCCATCATATTGTCTATTTTCTCTTGTGCTTCTATTTTCCATCCTTTTAGCCAGGTACTTTTTCCCCAGCAGGGCAACTGGTAAGCAACCAGTATCTCACTGTGATTATTTGACTCCGTTAATTTAGTCTTTTCCTGCAATCAGGTGCAAATCCAACCACTTGCAGAGTGTCAAGAGATTTTTTTGTGTGGGTGACACACCATGGATGATTGGGGCCAGGCTCCCTTGGACATCTTGTCTGGTTCTGTCAGCAGAGTTACACCAGGGAAAGGTTTGGCACATGCTGTAAAAACTAAAGCTTGACCCAGCCATGAGCAAATGAGAGCGAGGCAGCTGTTTAAAATGCCTGATGGCGAATTCAGATTAAACCATTTCAATATTGACTGAAATACTTAATTTTATCAGCACTGGCTACTACGAACATATTTTCCTCTCAGTTACAAGCAGAGTGCGATTACCCAGCTCAGAGGTCACTAAGTGGACTCTCCATCCTTAGCTCCTCTCTGAGGACAGGGCTGGGAGAAAGGGTGATCCTTCACGTGGCTCATCATCCCTCTGCCCCTGAACACCAGGGGAAAATGAACCAGATGCAATTGGCTGGTGTTCTGGTTTTCAACCCAGTGGTTCTGGCCGGAGGATGTTGGACTGTGTGGCCAGAAGCCAATTTAGCTGCCAGCAAAGTATTTGCAACGATAACGCATGTAACATCTTTTGGCTGACAAACTGCGTTATATGTCTGTCCCTGTGCCCAGGAGAAAGCAGAGCATTGCTTCAGTTTGCTATGTTATATATGTATAAATATATATATATATGGGGAGAGAGAGATAGCCAAAAGTGTAAACTTCTTGTGCTGGTGATGTTCTCCAAGCTATTGTCCAAGACAAAGCCAATGCCCCCGGGATCTGTCTTGAGAAAGGGAAGGCACTCTGCCTCAACTACTGCTGCTTGATCAACTTGCTGACACCAGAGTCCCTAAAAAATTGGCTTAGCAGCGGGCAATATCCGAGCCAAAAACTGGCAGATCAGCAGCTGCTGGAAGCAGACACTCCTTCACAAGTTCTGGTCCTCTCTGGTGTCACCCAAGCTGCTTTCCTGACTTTTTAGTGACGGCTTTTTGTTAATTAGGTCACGCGTGGCCCTGTATGTGAAGTGCTACACGATCCGGCAGGAGCAGTGTTTTGTGCCGGTGTGTCTTTTCACTTTGTTAGAAGTCTTGCCTTTTCTCTGCTCTCCAGGTTATGCTGACACAGAAGGAGGGACTTGGAGAGGGAAGATTAACCTTTCGCTGGCCACAATTCGTTCCCTCTTATCGCGGAGGATTCGGCAACCCCCCCCCCCCGCTCCCACCCAGCCTATCTGTCTGAATTGCTGAAAGCATAATGCTCCCATATGAGAGATAAGTAAGTGAGCTCTCTTTCTTTTCCGTAGGGATGAACTATAGTGTATGCAGATTATTAGGGGAAGAAAATAATATCAGAGAAAGGTGGCTTTCTTAAAAGGCATCGGTAGCATTAGTGTCATGTGTGAAGCACCCATTTGTGACAACTGTACAGACCTTTCAATGGAAAATTGTGCTGTGCTACCTTTTAAAGTATGAAATGCTAATTTTGGATTTGCAGTTTTTGAACTGGAGGGCTGCATTTTGCATGGAATTTTGTTTAATTTCCCAGCGAAAAAAGGCATTTGAAACACAACTGCCTACAGCCAACTGTCAACAAAAATCAACTGTAATAACACGCGGCCTGTCACTGATTTATGTGGTGATGTGGTAATCTTCTCAATTTAGCTGGATATTTCTTCTTCACACCAAATAGCTGAAAGTCTTGCTAGACATTTATGAATATCGGGGAGGTACTATTAGGATGATAATGGGGCAAGATTAAAGAGGTGTTCGCTAGTTCAAAGTGCCAGTTAAAGAGACAGGGAATCGAGAGGTGTAGATATATATGGCCCATTGGTATAAGTGAACTTTATATTTTCAGAGTTGCTTAAGATTTGGGAGACGGCATATTGAGATCCATCTGCCATGAGAGCATCTTTCTAAAGGGAGACTGGGGAAAGCAGCTCTACACATTTTTATTTTTTTTTTTCTCTCCCCTAAAAAATATGCTTTTCTTTAGCGGGGGGAGTGGGTTGAAAATCTCAGGTATCGAAACTGGAGCAGACAATTTATGGGTGATGCTTTGGCAAGCAGGGTGCTGGGAATTTTCCCACCTTTCCTCCAAAGGTTTGAGCCTCAGACATGGTCATTTTGCAGCAGGCTGTGTCTCAGCCAGGACTGAAGAGGAAGATACCACGCTCCGTGTGTTACAGCTAAGAAAAGTAATTGGCCTCTCATAAAGAGCTAGAACTAATGCAGACAAAACGATACTGCAAGACTTGAGCTGCAAATAAAGAGACAAGTTTGTGTTTTACAAAAATGTGTAATTTAGCAGGCATTTCATTATGCTGTATAAAAAGGCAGAAATGATAATTGAAAATAAATGCGGCTGCCTAGCTACAGTATATGCTGCCAGCGTTACTGGAAATAGAAGTGCTTTCTTGCTGAAAAGAGTTAAAATTTTCATACAACTTCTGTCTGCAGACTTGTGTAATGTATCCAGTTAAATTTGTTTCAGTTTGGGTATTTGTTAGAGAGAAGCAGGCAAAATGTGAGGCTCTGTCTGTGTATTTATATATCAAGGGGGTTGTACAGTTCTATTAATTATTAGCAGCATCTTCTGCAGATGCACACATCTGTGGGCTCTCAGTGAGGATTCATGATGCTGAGTTTATTTCAGGGCGGGCAAAGCACATCAGTTGCCTTCAAGGTTGCCAAAGATATTCCATTGCAAGCTCCTGTCTCACAGGGAACGTGGGTACAAATGTAAATATATACCAAAGTACCTTTGTTGGGTTATTTTCCCCCTGAAGCGAAGGGAACCCTGAACTGCCATTTTTCTTTGGCAGCATACAAAGATGGGGATACTTGGGGATGCTGAGAATTACTGGAGTAGGAGGAGGAGGACACAGGTCTGGGAATTGTCATTGCTTCTGCTCTGAAAGGTTCTTTTAAGAGGAAGTCACCACAAACACGGTGTCCTAATGCAGCAGTCCTGGTGCTTTGCACACCCAACATGGGAAAACCTCTCCCGAGGGAATTTTTGCAGAAAAGTCCTCTCCTGGATTAAGATTTTTTTTTTCCTCCTAGCTCTTCAGTTTCTCAGCAGAGAGAGCTGCAAATGGCTCCAGGTTCACTACACAGTGTTTTCTCATGCCCTGCAGCAGCAAAAGGCTGGGCAGGTCACTCAAGTTACGAGTGAAACTACTGAGTTTCCATTAGCCCTGGAATTAAACTGATAAAGAAAAGGTAAGAGGCTTTCCCTTGACCAAAGGAGGCTTGACAGCACCAAGGTGGCTTTAGAGGCCAGGTAGGTAGGGTGAGAGAAACAGCAAATGAAACGAATTGCTGGTTGGGATTCCCATTCCCCTAATGTCCCACCAGGATGGCGACACAGTGGGCAGAGTACTGGGGAAAGAACTCATCAGGAGAAGGGTCATACTTTCACATATGTGTTTAGAGACACTGTTTAAAATTATCATTTTTCCTTCTTTCTTTGGATTTGAGCTCTTTTTTTTTAATCTATAGGCTCTGCTGGGCCACATTGTTCAGACAGTCGTGGTTGTGTTTGGATGGGTCAGGCCCTGTGAATTCACTTGGCCTCGAAGCGAAAAACTCATCATGAATAATGAAAGAATGGAAAATAATGCCTGAGACAGAATGACTTTAAAATGATTAATATCTATTCTTTCCCTCATAATTTGCCTCCAGACTTTTCCCTTTTCAAAACAGCTTGCCATTAGCAGTTGAACTTTCAATAGTCAGTACTTTGATGGAACTGGTGCTCTGAAGCCAAAGGGAACATCGTTATTATTATTATTATTATTATTATTATTTTACAAAATCAAGGTTGGTTTTGAGAAGTTCAAAGCCCTAGATGAATATGGAAAGAACCAACCTGCCCTCAACCACGTCCGGCTTGTTCAAATTGGCCACTCGAAACGAGAGCGATGTTTGCCAGAGAGATACTGAAATTCTTGAGTCTGTAGATGTGTAAACACCAGCGTCAGTTCCCATCCAATAACCGCTGACAGAAGAGCTGGTCCTGTGCAGAGCAGCACTGAGGGGATTTGCAATTATGAAGGAATGGGATATATCAGGGATGCAACTGACTGCCACTAAGTAGCTCAGCAACTCTCAGGGGCCTCCATTCAGGCTCCCGACGCCTCGTCTCAGGCAGGAGATTTTCTTTCTTCAAAGGCTTTTATTAAAAACCAGTTCAGGTAAATGCTGACAATAAGCAAGCAAACCTGTTGAGCCCCGAGTCTACAACTCGCCAGGCAACAGGATGCTTCTCCGTGACATTTAGGAGAGCTAACAGCTGAAGAAAATATTGCATGTTTTACCCTTTCTACTGAAAATAACACACAAAAAAGTGCTGCTCTTGCAGTTACACTTAGGGCCATTTTCAGCAGGCTGTCCCCACCTCTGTCCTGGGGATCTTCCACCTACCTCCTGTCAAAGGAAACTCTTTTTCATTAGTACCCTGGTCAGGACTTTGAAATTACCTATCAGCTTTATCTACCCCAGAAGCAGATCCACAGCAGAATGTAAGGTCAGCTGAGCCAGGAGCCCTGGCAGGTGTGGAGCAATTACAGCCAATGAGCTAAAGGGACTTTAATTAGTGGATCCCAAACACCTGTGGAGCTGTTGCCGCCATAGTTTGAGCCTCAGTTGGCTCCTGATGCGGGCAGCTTCACTGTGTGCTGCTCCACGTTCCCTCGGAGCAGCTCCATCCAGCCATGTGGGTCTCCTCGTCTTGGGATAAAGTAAGTCTTTCTATTATTCTTAAAGTCTTACAGTTTTGCAGCGTGGCAGAGCTTCAGGGGTTTTTGAGGTGATAAACAGAGAGAGTTTGATGGTTGCTGGACCTGAAGTTGCTCCTTTCTGTGGCAGATGCAAGATGGAGTAGCTGATGTGTGGTGTGAAAGATGATGATTTTGTCCTTCTCTCCTGAGATCCTATTAATTTTTTTTTTAAATTTTTTAAACCCTCCTCTCGGTATATTTACCCCATAATTCTGCTTTGTTGGGTATTTAACCTTTAGACACACTTGTATGCATGTATTGCCTCTCTTGTGAGCCTTGCCCTAGCTGATCATCTGGAGAGAGCAGCAAGATTTTATGGGAATTGGTACTTCTTAAGTCAGACTTCTTTGATTTTCTGTCAAAATAGCGGATGATGATTTTGTTTGTAATGGTCAGATGTGCCAGTTCTGTGAGCATTATGGTCTTTGCAGTACATGAAGTCAGAATTGTTACAGGCTTTAGTCAGGCAATGCTCCTGTTGAGTCTGTGGATTTTACCCCTGGTTAAAAAAGGGATTGCCCCAAGCTTCCACTTCATCCTTTCCCTGGTCCCAGAGGAGGGTTGGGAGAACAAAAGGTGCATCTTTATTTTCCACTGCCAGAGTTTCAGAGAACCTCGTCTGCGTTAACAAGGCACAGCTGGCCCTCGTTTAAACCCTCAGGGGTGAAGGGTGGCGGTGAAGTCCCGAGAAGCTACCAGAACCTTCTGGGCCCTTCCAATCAGGCTCCGGATTAATTAATCATCTCCACCTGTGCTAGAGGTGGGAGAAAGCCCTTTAATGTCTGCCAGGGGATAAAGCTCCTTTTGCTGCCCGCTGAAAGCATAGCAACTTCAGCTTAAATCTCTGAGCCTGTGTCAGGTGCTCCATTTTGGGGACTTGAGGGCTCAGGGGACAAGGGCTTACACGGCAACCCCCCCAGATTTCAGGGGTGATGTAGGCTGGGTTTTAAGGCATAAAAACACACTTGTGTATTACCTGCAGAGATAATTGAATGTATAGGCCCATTCCCAGTAGGTACACCTGTGCTGCCTCCCTGGCATGCATAAGGATTCCCTGGGTGCCTGTGTGTTCTCTGCAAGCTACACTACACATTAATAAGACAATCCATATATTGCATTAGGACATACCGTATGCAGACAATGCTCCAGGTACTGATTTTTTTTTTTTTTTTTGTGTAAATCCTGAAATATGGCTGATATGGTCCACTGCAAAAATGAACCTATATTGGAAATGGCAAAATTGTAATGTAAAATATACTGGGGTCAGTGGGGTGTGATGTTTTTTGCATACATTTTTCCTCCCTTGACCCATGCCATTCTCCTGCATATCGGGGGAAAAAAGCTTCATCTCGCGCAGAAATGTGATGTCCTTTACTGCCAGAGGCTGTTGCTGTTTTAAATGAGGAAAAAGCACAATGCATGAAGAAGGAAAATTAAAGCATATTCATTTTGGAAATTAGATACGGTGTCAGGAGACTCTCTGGAAATAGCA